TCCTATTGCAAGGAGTGATTAACGGCGGGGGTGGGGTGTTGGTGGTGGATTCTGCCAGCTGAGTGTTCTACAGCCCTGAGCCTTTGTGATCCAGCGAGCTTACAAGCCACTCCACGCCAGCACTGGGGGTCCCGGGGTCATTTCTGTGGCGGGGTACAGTTACTGTCTTACTCCTGCTCGCCCCCTCCCACTGACTTATCATCGTGCAGGGTTGGGAGCTTTAAAAATGGCAGTCGGGTGAGCCCTACCCTGAGTCACCCCCTTCCTGACTTGGGGCGGTGAGGGGTGGGAGTGGGTGAGGCTGAGCACTGGAGCTTGGCGTTTTCTCAAGACCCTGAGCTGGAGCCAGCTGGGGATTGTTCACGGCCCAGCTCTGTGGTGTGGGTCACTGGAGGAGGGGTAGAGTCCACGCTGGGCAATAGAACGTGCTAGGCTGGTCCCCTCGGAGTCAGTGCGGAGAAGCATGGCGAGGTGGTGAGAGTGCACAGGACTGAGTCCCTGAACCTCCCCCCCCCCCCCCCACGCACAGGGCTTCCTCTTATTCTCCTGAAGAATGGATCTGCACGAACATCTCTTCTCTCTGACTACAGCCCCTGGCAGCTGCACCTGGAAAATGATCCATTTAGTGTCTGCCACTTCCTTAAAGTAATAATAGTAACGGAACAGTCAGCAACTGATAAGGACTGCTCCAGCCCTAGAGGAGAAGAGCAGCCAGAAGGGGCAGCGAGAATGAGAAAGAAATTGGTGACAGAGCTAAGGCAGGCTGCAGCCCCCAGACTGGATGCGGCTCCCCGTGGTGGGGAAGAGGCCGGCTTGGAGAGCCAGGGGGCGAGCCAGGGGGCGGAGGCTGTGGAGAAGCAGCCACGCCCTCAGAGACAGGGCTCCAAGCATTTCCTGCACAGAAGGTGCTGATGTGACGATTACAGGAAAGCACAAGGGTCCTAATCCCCAGCCCGGACAGTTGGGTTTCTGACTGTGGATCTGGATTCTCTTTTAAGCCGCTGTCTTTAAAAGGCCCTCAGCCTCAGGTCTGTCTCGGAAGGTCCTGCACCACTTGAGGATGAAGGCTTTGAGCACATGAACTTGTGCCTCCGCAGGCGCCTTGCTGTCGAGCCGTTGCTTCCCAGGTTCAGGCATTGCTGCTCCCGCCGCGGCTCACCCGCCCTGGCGGCAGCGCAGCGGCACTGGCGTTCGGAGTGCACTGCAGACGAGGACGTGGTGACTGGTTTTCTACGAAGCTCTTTCGGAATTGGGTCGGCTTCCACGTGGGCACCGGGCGCTGTCGGGTCCGAAGCCGCCGCTGAGAAAGATGGACAGGTTCCTGCTGCCCTGCTGCAGGGAGCCTGCAGCCTGATCGTGGGAGGTGGCTGCAGGCGGACAAAGAGCTGTGTCCTCAGTCGGAGATGAGAGAGGGGTGAACACAGAACAGAGGACTGGGTGACTGGGTGATCTGGCCAGAGGAGGCCGCTCTCAGGAGGTCACTATTGGCCGGACAGGGAAGACAGAAAAGGACCCAGCTCCAGAGAAAAGCGCATTTCCAGGGGCTGGCACTGTGGCTCAGCAGGTTAAAGCCACAGCCTGCAGTGCCTGCATCTTATATAGGTGCCGGTTCGAGTCCCAGCTGCACTGCTTCCAATCTAGCTCTTTGCTAATGTACCTGAGAAAGCAGTGGATGATGGCTCAAGTGCTTGGGCCCCTGCACCCACGTGGGAGAATTTGAAGAAGCTCCTGGCTCCTGGCTTCATCCTGGCCCAGCCCTGGCTTTTGTGGCCATTTTGGGAGTGAACCAACAGATGGAAGATCTTTCTCTCTGTCTCTCCCTGCCCCTCCCCCCAACTCTGCCTTTCAAATAAATAAATAAATTTTTTTAAAGGAATCAAGACCAGCACGTGCAAAGGCCCTGGGGAAGGACCAGTGTTGATTTGTGCAAGAATGAAGGCTGGGGGAGTCCGAGCACAGTGGCTGAGTGGGGGAGGGGTACAAGCAGAGATGAGGGAGATACGTTTGGCTCTCAAAATGAAAACCTAAGCCCTCGACAGAGTCATGAAGTCAGCTGTGCTGGTTCCCAGGTGCTCAGAGAGGCCATTGCCAACAGCGGCTGGGGGTGCTTACAGTACCCGTGGCGCTCCCCACTAACTCAGGTACTGATCCCAGGGTCAAAGCTGGCAGAGCAGGCAGAGTTGTTCTAACCCGTCTCCCTCCTTTCACAAATGAAGGAACAGAGGCTCCAAGAGGCTAAGTTCTCATCTGGGGAAAAAAAAAATCTTAAGTGAAGTCAGAAGGCAAATGAGAAAGAAGGGGAAATATTTGCAGTTCGCAGCCTCAGGTCGGGGGATTAGCTTCCTTACCTTATAAAGCTGCTGGCCAGTGGAGCTGGAACAAAATGTACAAGGGCAGGGAGACTCAAGCCTTGGACAGAAATCCAGGCGTCTGACCACACACACAGCTGCTCTGAGCAATGGGGATCCAGCGCGTCCCGTGGCGGGAGCAGCCAGGCACTGCAGAGACTGAGCTGCAGGGTGCCCTGGGCTCAAAGGGCTGGCGCCAGCTCTGTATGGTTGTCTGGGCACAGGACTGCAGCTTGACTGAGCAGGCCACCAAGGAGCTTTGGGGAGCGATGAAAATGTCTCTCTGTAGCTTGACTGTGGTGGTGGTGCTGGGCAATTGGATATACAGCTTTGTCAGAACTCTTTGGGGCTGGCGCTGTGGCGTAGCGGGTAAAGCTGCCGCCTGCAGTGCCGGCATCCCATATGGGCACCGGTTCAAGTCCTGGTTCTCTGCTATGACCTGGGAAAGCAGTGGAAGATGGCCCAAGTCCTTGGGTCTCTGCACCTGCATGGGAGACCCAGAGGAAGCTCCTGGCTCTTGGCTTCAGATTGGCACAGCTCTGGCCATTGTGGCCATTTGGGGAGTGAACCAGCGGACGGAAGACTCCCCCTCCCCCTTTCAGCCTCTCCTCTGTGTAACTCTGACTTTCAAATGAATAAATAAATCTTTAAAAAAAAGAGAGTTCTTAAAATGGGTTGGTCTTTTTAAATGTATATAAATTATGCCTCAGTAAGGTTAACTTAAAGAATAAATTTTAAAAGGAAACATAGACAAGCTTTTGGTTAACTTGCCATGCATTTGTGCATTCTTTGTGGAGCACCTGCTGTTCCAGGGGCTGTAAGAGGTCCTGACCCATCTGTATCTGTCTGCACCAGAGCACAGTCCCACGGTGGCACCCACTCTGGCCCCGTGCGTCTCTGCAAGCCCTGGGTTCCCTCCCCAGGACCCGCCTGCATATGCCTGTCCTGTCATCTGTCAGGACACCCGCTGTGGAGACCCAGGCTGGCAGGGGCAGGGGCTGGGGCTGCTCAGAAAGAATGCGGCCCTTTCTGTCTGAGAGCACTCGAAAACCTGTAGGGAGAGCGGAGGGGCTGGGAAGGCCGTCGGTTGTTTCTGGACCAGGGCCCCCCTGTGCACACCACTGCCTGGTGACCAACCCTTCTCGCTCACTGGGAGGTGTTGGCCTAGCTGTTTCTGCTGTAGCATTGTTCTGCTGTAACTTTCCAAGCTCATTGACACAATGTTTAACTTCCGCAAACCATTTATTAACCCCTACTTTTTTTTTATGGTTGATTGATTTGAAAATCAGAGTTGTAGAGAGAGGTCTTCCATCCATTGGTTCACTCCCCAAGTAGCCGCAACGGCCAGGGCTGAGCCAGGCCGAACTCCTGAGCCAGGAGCTTCAGCTAAGTCTCCCACGTGGGTGCAGGGGCCCAAGCACTTGGGTCATCTCCTGCTGCTTCCCCAGGCACCTTAGCTGGGACCTGGATTGGAAATGGAGCATCCAGGACACAGACTGGCGCTCATATGGAATGCTGACATAACAGGCAGAGGTTTTACCTGCTATGCCACAGTGCCAGCCCCACCTAGCCCCCACTTCTGTATGAGTAGGTGTGTGGTATCTAAGTGCGCATGTGTGTATGCATGCATGCATGTAGGTAGGTACTGGGCATACATTTCTGCACGTTCACATGTCTCTCTACACATGGTGATTTCCATACATGGACTTTTCTGCTCTTTGAGAAGGGATGTGACGGTTTCTCTGACTGTTGCTGTCTGCGTTGCTATAGCAAAGTGTCTGAGAATGAGTAATTTACAAAGAATAGACATTTCTTGTCCAGGACGCAGTGGGATGCAGGTGACCGGCTCTGGCTTCCCACTGAACAGCAGCGTGACTCTAGTGTGCTATAAGGGAAATGGAACGGCTGTTGCCCAGGTGCGACTGGTTTTTGCTGTGTGTATCTGTTGAAATGTTGCCCTGCACCCCTAAAGTGTGCAGGTATTTCCCGTTAAACCAAAACTTGAAAAATTAAAACAATACAAAGGGGGCTGGTGTTGTGGTGCAGCTGGTTAAGCCACTGCTTGCAACATCAGCGTCCACATAGCAGTGCTGGTTTGAGTCCCATATGCTCTGCTTCCAGTCCAGCTCCCTGCTGATGCGCCTGGGAAAACAGCAGAAGATGGCCCCCAAGTGCTCGGGCCCCTGCCATTCATGTAGGAGACCTGATGGACTTCCTGGCTTCCAGCTTCAGCCTGGCCCAGCCTTGACTGTTGGGAGCATTTTGGGAGTAACCAGTAGATCTGTCTCTCTCTGTCGCCTGCCTGGAGGTGCCACCCTCAGCTCCTCATCCAACCCTACTTACCTCCCAAAGGCCCTGCCTCCCAGTGCCATTAACGCAGGGATTTGGGGGTAAGATGCCCACCCGTGACCTCTCGGAGGACACATCCAGTACTGCACAGGAGGAGGCTCTTTGCTCTGGGCCAGCAGAGTGCTTTTGACGTTAGAAACATGTGAACGACCCACGCGAGAGACAGGTGTTGGGCAGCTTCCTCCTGCATCTCACAGCTGATGAAGTCAGCACACCTGCTTCAGGCCCAGAGGGAGGGGAGAAAGGGCTCAGAGGGGCCTCCCAGGACCCACAAGGTTCACTTCCTGTTCTTGCTACTTTCAGGTGCCTCTGAGATCGCGCTGCGCCCAGGCAGTGGCATCACACTGGTCATCCAGCCGAGGACCCCGGCCCTGCCCGGGAAGCCCTGTTACATCTTGACTTCCAAAAGACGCGACACCACACTGGCCATCAGGTCTGGGGAAAGAGCAGCGTTTACCTTCAGCTGCCAGAACCCGGAGAGCCACTTTGTCATGGAGATCCAGAAGAGTGTGGGTGAGTCCCTGCACCTGCCTGCCCCTCCTCCCGCGCCAAGCCAAGGAAATGGAATTAAAAGATGAACGTATTTGGGGATAGAAAACGATTTTTGAAATCCGTGCGGAGTTTTTTCATCCTGGGCACTTTCTGTGAGCCTTGGGAAGACCCCTCCTACCCTGAGACCGCGCCCTGATGTGGGCGGTCCCGCTGATTCCCAGTTGGTCGTTTGATTTCGGCTTCAGAGGAGAACCCCGCAGAGAGGGGAGCTTGCTGTGGGTGGCTCCGCCCAGGAGAGGGACCCAGGTGCCCCAGCTGCAGGGCCAGCGCCAGAGACACCTGGGAGCCGTAGATCCTCAGGTGTGGGCGGCCGCGCCCCTGTGCTAGAAACACCTGGCGGATGTAGACCGAAAGTCCAGGGCGTGGGAAGACAAAAGAACCGGAAGGTTGTGGAGATAAACCGGAATTAAGACTGAATCGGGCCCGGGGAAAGCAGCCACTTGGGAGCCCGATGCGAGGCTGCTGGTCATGTGTCCTGACCACGTGACTCCGCGGGGTTGGGGGTGACTGCGTAGCCCCTTAGAGCTGCATGGCCCCTTAGGTTTCTGGTTGGTACAGTGCAGGTCCTCGTACCAAACAACAGAGTTGTTCCAGACAGAACAGAATAATGAATTGAAGATAAATGACATCTAAGAATTCAGCAGCCTCTAAACATTTCGCAGTTTTATTATTTATAACTTGAGTTTGGGGTAGGAGATTGATGATGGAGATAATAATCACGCATTTATTTATATTTTCTCAGTCATTTTTAATTGGGACTATTTTAACCATTTTAGTGCCAAAGTAGGAATTCATCAAGTAAAGTCACCGCCTGCAGTGCGGGCATCCCATATGAGCGTCGGTTCAAGTCCCACTGCTCCACTTCTGATCCAGCTCTCTACTGTGGCCTGGGAAAGCAGTAGAAGATGGCCCAAGTGCTTGGGCCCCTGCACCCACGTGGGAGACCTGGAAGAAGCCCCTGGCTCCTGGCTTCAGACTGTTGCAACTCCAACTGTTGTACCCAACTGGAGAGTGAACCAGTGAATAGAAGATCTCTCTCTCTCTCTGCCTTTCCTTCTCTCTCTATGTAACTCTGACTTTCAAATAAATAAGCAAATATTAAAAAAAAAAAAAACCTACACGTGAGAGGGTGGATGTTCGGCCAGCAGGTTAAGATGCCACTTTGGTGGGTGCCAGAGTGCCTGTGTTCAAGTCCCAGCTCTGCTCCTAATTCCAGCTTCCTGCTAACATGCACCGTGGGAGGCTGCAGGTGTTGGCTCATGTACTTGGGTCCTGCCACCCACATGTGGGATCTGGACTGAGTTCCTGGCTCCCAGCTTTGGCCAATCCTATCCCAGCTGTTGTGGGCACTGGGGGAAGTGAACCAATGGGTGGGTGCTCTCTTTCTCTCTGTCTCTGTTTCTAGCTTTCTCTCTCTGTCTCTCTGTTTCTGTGATTCTCCTCTCAAATAAATTATTTTTAATTATTTGAAATAAGTTTGAAAAAATTTTAAGTTACATTTTACTGAAGTCAAGATCTGGTGTTCTACAAAGACTGAAAAGTCTCCTGACTATTGTTACGGAAAAAAGGATTAAAAATAAACAGCATTAGAAAAAAGGTGGGGTGGGTGTTTGGCGCAGTAGTAGAGATGCTGTTCAGGACACCTGCATCTCATACCAGGGAGCCTGGCTTTGAGTCCTGGTTTCACTTCCCATTCCGGCTTCCTGCTAAGGCATCAAGTACTTGGACCACTGCTACCTACCTGGTTCCTGGCTGTTGCAGCCATTTGCAGAGTGAACCAGTGGATGGAAGAGTCTCTCTCTGTCACTCTGCCTTGCAAGTAAATAAATAAATATATATTAAAAAAAAGTCTTGCAGGTGAGTCTGTTGTGGAGCCAGTGCCTAATAGGGTTAAGTAATCCGGCAGAGTACCGAAAACCAGCCCTGGGCACAGTGGAGGTGTGGGGAGACAGCTACTCGAGGCCAGGGTTTGAAGGAACGACATAGTTTGGTGTAGGTAATGCAGTTTCCCTGCATTCTGAAAACAGGTACTATCTTTACTCACACTTGGCGTCTAATTTTAGCCGTGTTAGTCACCGCGTTATCTAACCCTGTTTTATGGGTTCAGCAGCACAGTTCATTGGCAGGAACGAAGGTTGACCAAACACAGCCTGGGTTCCTGGCCTAGCCCTGCTGGGTATGGCAAGAGCCTGGAGCCTAGCACCGCTGTGCACAGGCGGCAGGTTTGGCCTCGAGTTCTGAAATTCTCCCATGAGGCCACTTCCAGGCCATATTCTTTTCAGAGATCCCGAGAGGGCAGGAGTAAAGAGGCCCAGGTCAGGACTGGAGGAGGCTGTCACACCTTTTAGGTCCCCTGTGCTCAAGACCAGAGAGAGACCTTACTGTCCCCCTCCGGCTCTCTGTCATTTCTCCTGCACACTCTCCTCTTTACTTCCTCCTTAGGAGAGGTGGTTTCCACTTGGTCTTGAAAGGCTTAGGAAACAGCGGGCGTCCAGGGGTTTGCCTTAAAATTTGTGCAACTGCAGTGGTGATAAAACATCAGCCTTAAAGCCACGGGGCTGGAAGACGGCTCTGCATCTGGGTTGCAGCCCTCCAGGGAGCTGTGCCTTCAGGGTGTACTCACAATGATGATGACCGTGTTGATGGACCAGTTGTAAAAGGTGGACCTTGGCACTGTACCCTGAAAGTTGGGAAACTGTGACTCCTCAGAACAGGAGGAGTAGGGGATCGCAAAGTGAACACTGATGGCCTCCGTCTGGCTTCCCCTAAGGCTTGTGCGGCAGCCACCAGGTGGACCAGGAACGCAGCCTGGAAACGTGGTAGGCAGAGGGTGTGCTGGGGTCTGCTGCCCTGGAAGCAGAGCCTGAGACCAGGATTTTTTTTTTTAAGATTATTTATTTATCTGTTTATTTGAAAGGCAGAGTTACAGAGAGAGGGAGAGAGACAGAGATCTATCAGCTGGTTCACTCCCCAAGTGGCTGCGATGGCCAGGGCTGGGTGAGGCCAAAGCCAGGAACCTAGAACTCCATCCGGGTCTCCCATGTGGGTGGCAGGGGCCCAGGTACTTAGGCCTTCTGCTGCTGCTTTCCCACGCACGTTAGCTAGATCAGAAGTAGAGCAGCGGGCTGGCGCCGCGGCTCACTAGGCTAATCCTCCGCCTTGCGGGGCTGGCACACTGGGTTCTAGTCCCGGTCGGGGCGCCGGATTCTGTCCCGGTTGTCCCTCTTCCAGGACAGCTCTCTGCTGTGGCCCGGGAGTGGAGGTTGACCCAAGTACTTGGGCCCTGCACCCCATGGGAGACCAGGAGAAGCACCTGGCTCCTGCCTTTGGATTAGTGCGGTGCACTGGCCGCAGTGTGCCGGCCGCGGCGGCCATTTGAGGGTGAACCAATGGCAAAGGAAGACCTTTCTCTCTCTCTCTCTCTCTCTCTCTCTCTCACTGTCCACTCTGCCTGTTAAAAAAAAAAAAAAAAAAAGAGCAGCTGGAACTTGAACCAGCACTCATATGGGGTGCCAGCGTTGTAGCTGGCGGCTTAACTCAGCATACCACAGTGCTGGTCCCCTGGCACAGGGATTTTTTCTGAAGTCGTTTATCAATAAATTGTCCTGGGAAGAAACCTGTGAACAAGGAAAGACGTTGGGGAGAGGTTAAGCACAGAGGTAGATGTCATGTTAACTGCAGTCCAGCCTTGTCCTGACCACACCCCCTCACCAGGACTCTGGAACATGGCTGCATCCCCAGGTGGTGTCGCTTGAAGCAAGGAAGTCAGGCATTTTGAACTGAAAGCAGCGGTTAGTGGCTGATTACCCTGGTGACTGTCACTCCCCTTTGGGTCAGAGCCAGCAGAATGTCTTAGACTGTTCTGGTCCGAGGTGGCTCCCCCAAGCTCCGGTGCATCCCCGAAGCAGGTGCCTCTATGAGCCTTTGGCCACTAAGACTGACAGCAGCTGGGGATGGGTGCGCCCACCTGGGCAGCATCCCAGAGTCTGCGATGCTAGGGGCCGCGGCAGGTGGCCTTGCAGCACCTGTGATGAGCATTGCTTTCCTGTCTGTTTCAGACTGCGTGTCGGGCCCGTGTCCCTTTGGGGAGGTGCAGCTGGAGCCCTCGACGTCGGTGTTGCCCGCCCTCAACAGAACTTTCGTCTGGGACGTCAAGGCCCACAAGAGCATCGGGCTGGAGCTGCACTTCTCTCGTCCCCGCCTGAGGCAGATCGGCCCTGGCGAAGCTTGCCCGGACGGCGTCACTCACTCCATCAGCGGCCGCATCAACACGGCTGAGGTCAAGATCGGAACCTTCTGCAGCAATGGCACCGTGTCCCGGATCAAGATGCAAGAGGGGGTGAAGGTGGCCTTGCACCTGCCGTGGTTCCACCCCAGAAACTTCTCGGGCTTCAGCATTGCAAACCACACGGCTATAAAACGTGAGCGCACCCTCCCCTCCCGACCGTTCCCGTCAGCCTCAGTGTCCGCAGGGAGCTCCCGCTGTTCTGCCGGGGGCATGGGGCCCTGGTTCTTGGTGTGGGTGCTGTCTTCCCTGTCACACACACGCGGTGCAGTGACCCTTATCTTTGTGCTGTTTACGTGTGATATTTGTTTTCAGAAAGCGATGTGGGATTGGTTCTGTCGACCCACGTAGCAGCTCTGTTTCTAGCTTCGTTATCTTCTTTCTCACTCACACTTTGTATAACTGCATCGGTGGTGTGCTTTGAGCCACCTTGCACTGGCTCAGGAGACAGCTGATTGCTAAATGTTCAGGAATTTGAGGAGCCATTATTAAAAATAAGACTATGGGGCAGGCTTCTTGCCCGGTGATTCAGCCATCACTGGGATGCCTGCCTCCTCTCTCCGTGCCTGGGTTCAAGTCCTGACTCTGAGTCCTGACTCCAGCTTCCTGCTAATGCAGATCCTGGGAGGCCGCAGTGATGGTTCAAGTGGTTGGGTCTCTGACACCCACATGGGAGGCCAGAACTGAGTTCCCGGCTCCCAGCTTTGGCTCCCCAGCTACTGGGGAGTGGGCCCGTGGATAGGGGCACTCTCCCTGCCTCTCAAATAAAGAAAAAAGTGTTTTTCTTTTTTTAAGATTCATTTATTTATCTGAAAGGCAGAGTTAGAGATCTTCCCATCCACTGGTTCACTCCCCAAATGCTGGGGCTGGGCCAGGCAGGAGCCAGGAGCCAGGAGCCCCATCCAGGTCTCCCATGTGGGTGCAGGGACACATGTACTTGGGCCATCTTCTGCTGCTTTCCTAGGCGCATCAGCAGGGAGCTGGATTGGAAATGGAACAGCCAGGACTTGAACTGGCGACCAGATGGGATGCCAGTGTCATAGGTGGCAGCCTCTGTTTTAGAATTGGAGGTCACACTCAGAACTCGTCCCTCCCTAATTCTCTTAGTGCATTTCGCTGCCTCTGTGCCCCCGAGGCCGTGCACGGTGTCTGTGTGGTGGAACGCCAGTGTGTGCCGAGCCACCGCCCAGCACCACGTCTCATCCCTCGCATGTCCTCACTCTCCCACCCGGGGCCGCCTCCTCCGTGCTGACTCGCTTCCTCCCGGTAGGTCTGTGCATCGTCGAGTGCGTGTTCGAGGGTGAGGGCACGGCCACCCTGATGTCGGCCAACTACCCGGAAGGTTTTCCCGAGGACGAGCTCATGACGTGGCAGTTCCTGGTCCCCCCGCACATGCGGTCCAGCGTCTCCTTCCTCAGCTTCAACGTCTCCAACTGTGAGAAGAAGGAGGAGCGGGTGGAGTACTACATCCCGGGCTCCACCACCAACCCCGAGGTGTTCAAGCTGGAGGACCAGCAGCCCGGGAACATGGCCGGGACCTTCAACCTCTCCCTGCAGGGCTGCGACCAAGATGCCCAAAGTCCAGGGATCCTGCGGCTGCGGTTCCAGGTTCTGGTCCAGCATCCACAGACCGAGAGCAGTAAGTGCGCCCCCTCCTCCTGTGGGAGCAATTTGCTGGTGCTGGTTTGGTGCAGAATCCTAGGTTGCAAACAGAATTCCTGCAGAATTTTAGAGGCCTTGTTCCGTTGTTTTCTTTCTTTCTTTCTTTCTTTTTTTTTTTTTTATTATTTTTTTGACAGGCAGAGTGGACAGTGAGAGAGAGAGAGAAAGGTCTTCCTTTTGCCGTTGGTTCACCCTCCAATGGCCGCCGCGGCCAGCGCACCACGCTGATCCGATGGCAGGAGCCAGGTACTTATCCTGGTCTCCCATGGGGTGCAGGTACCAAGCACTTGGGCCATCCTCCACTGCACTCCCGGGCCACCGCAGAGAGCTGGCCTGGAAGAGGGGCAACCGGGACAGAATCCGGCGCCCTGACTGGGACTAGAACCCCGTGTGCCGGCACCGCAAAGCGGAGGATTAGCCTAGTGAGCCGCGGCGCTGGCCCCAAATAAGTAATTTTAAAAAAATAATAATAAATGGGCCGGCGCCGCAGCTCACTAGGCTAATCCTCCGCCTAGCGGCGCCGGCACACCGGGTTCTAGTCCCGGTCGGGGCGCCGGATTCTGTCCCGGTTGCCCCTCTTCCAGGCCAGCCCTCTGCTGTGGCCAGGGAGTGCAGTGGAGGATGGCCCAGGTGCTTGGGCCCTGCACCCCATGGGAGACCAGGAAAAGCACCTGGATCCTGGCTCCTGCCATCGGATCAGCGCGGTGCACCGGCCGCAGCGTGCTGGCCGCGGTGGCCATTGGAGGGTGAACCAACGGCAAAGGAAGACCTTTCTCTCTGTCTCTCTCTCTCACTGTCCACTCTGCCTGTCAAAAAAAAAAAAAATAAAAAAAAATAAAAAAAAAATAATAATAATAATAAATGAAGAAATGAGCTCAATGTGGAAATGCGCTAAGAGATGGAAAAACCAAGCATTTCCTGAATCAAATCATATTTAAGGTAGCAGCCTTAGAATCTGTACTCTGGCTGTAGACATGACATCACTCATTAAAGCATTCGTGGACACAATGATGAAACTTACATGGGAACAGGCAGGAGTTGAGAGATGGGACCACCCAACAGACAGACATCTCTGTTATGGGTCTGATTTGACACTGAGCTCCCTGGCAGTCGGTGCAGAAGGAGCAATTAGTATCAACGTGGTTCTGGTTACCGGGAAGGAGGAAGCAGAGCAGCGCTGGCTGGGCTTGCGTGTTTCTCCACGGGCAGGGGAAGGCGGGACCTGCTGGGCGGCAGGGTTAGCACCCTTGACACGGACAGTGCCACCCTGCACAGGCAGTGTCTTAATTTGATTCCTTCCTGTAAAAGCAGAGGGAATAGAAAGGAAAAGCTGTTCAGTGAAAAGTGATCTCCCGGCCGGCGCCGCGGCTCACTAGGCTAATCCTCCGCCTTGTGGCGCCGGCACACCGGGTTCTAGTCCCGGTCGGGGCACCGGATTCTGTCCCGGTTGCCCCTCTTCCAGGCCAGCTCTCTGCTGTGGCCAGGGAGTGCAGTGGAGGATGGCCCAGGTGCTTGGGCCCTGCACCCCATGGGAGACCAGGAAAAGTACCTGGCTCCTGCCATCGGATCAGCACAGTGCGCCGGTTGCGGCGGCCATTGGAGGGTGAACCAATGGCAAAGGAAGACCTTTCACTCTGTCTCTCTCTCTCTCACTGTCCACTCTGCCTATCAAAAAATTAAAAAATTTTAAAAAATTTAAAAAAAAAAGTGATCTCCCAGGATTGGCAGTATAGAACCCTCTGGGGATGACTTTACAGAGGGAAACGACCCTTTTGTGTGTCGCTGTGTATGTGGTCATCTGTTCTAGAGTGGACATAAAGTAGCCCCATTGGCTCACCTGGCCATGGTCATTCTGGGACGTCATCCGGAGAACTGACACGTAAATCAGGCCTGCCTCTCTGCACTGTGTATTTCTAATGATGACATCATAGAAACCACTTCTGTGACCCATAATCAGGCATCCCCTGAATTATGCCACACATGTGTCTTTTCTTTTCTTTTCTTTTTTTTTTTTTTTTTAATTTTTTGACAGGCATAGTGGACAGTGAGAGAGAGAGACAGAGAGAAAGGTCTTCCTTTTGCCGTTGGTTCACCCCCCAATGGCCGCCGCAGCCGGTGCACTGCGGCCGGCGCACCGCGCTGATCCGATGGCAGGAGCCAGGTACTTCTCCTGGTCTCCCATGGGGTGCAGGGCCCAAGCACTTGGGCCATCCTCCACTGCACTCCCTGGCCACAGCAGAGAGCTGGCCTGGAAGAGGGGCAACCAGGACAGAATCTGGCGCCCTGACCGGGACTAGAACTGGTGTGCTGGCGCCGCAAGGCGGAGGATTAGCCTAGTGAGCCGCGGCGCTGGCCCAGAAATGTCTTTTCTTGCTAAAATTCAGGCATCACAGACAAAGCTAAGATGCCCCTTGGCTACTCACACTGTCCCATCTTTCAGGGCCCTCTCCTGGGGTGTGTTGTTGGTCTTTCGTCTCTCCACCTGTGCAGCCAGCCACATCTGTGTGGAAATAGCTGTCTTCTTTCACGCGGATCCTGTCGTCGGCACAGCATCGTAGTCCACGCACTGCTCTGCAGCCTGCTCTTTGCCTGGTGCTACATCTGGGATCTGTAGACCTGCATGTTTAGATCTCCCGCATTCCTCTTACCTGCTGCATAATATTCCACTCGTGAGTGTCCCAGAGCTGACTGAACTGTCCCGTGCCAGGTGGCTCCCAGTTTTCCATAAGTGGGTCGATGGGTGGTGGTGCTTGGAGTAGAACTGAGTCCCCGTGCTGAAGTGAAACGCAGGCACACGCTGCCAGGCATGTGGCCGGGGTCACGGCGGGTGCGAGGCTCATTTTTCCACTCATTCCCAAGCTGTATCAGCTGTATCAGGCTGCTGCAGGCTTCCACTGCCCACGGCCTGCCCAGCACTCCGCATGCCAGAGGTTTCCATTGTTCCAGCCTCTGAGTAGGGGATCTAGTCACCTTCTCACTTGCTCTTCTCCAAACTTTTCGCGTTTGGAGTCTTTGGACATTTTTATCTCCCATGAACTGTTCAGTCTCGATTGCAAGCATTTTCTGCCTCCTGTCCTTTAACATGACTGATGGCACTTATTGTCTGACAGATATATTAATCTTCTAAGCCTTTTAGCAAATTTTTAATTGACACGTAGTGATTGCACATACGTATGGGGCACTGCGTGACATCTCAGTATCTGTATACAGTGTGGCATAATCAGATCAGGATAACTGGTAGGCCTGGCATTGCAAACGTTTATCGTTTGTGTTGCAGACATTCAAAGTCCTCCCTCCTAGCCACTCTGAAATGCACAGGTAACTGCTGTAGACCGTGCTCACCCTGCTGTCTGGAGCACCTGCAGCCCTGTGCCTCCTCTCCAGCTGCACTGCACGGCCCCTGCCCAGCCCCTGCAGCCCCGCGCCAGGCTCTAGTAACCCCTGTTCTGTTCTCTCCTCTGTGAGGTTGGCCTCTTAGCCGCTGCAGGGAGAATGTTCAGTATGTCTCTTTCCGTGGCTGTCTTAACACACTCGGTTCTGTCCCTGTTGCTGCACCAACAGGGTTTTGTTCTTTTCTGTAGCTGAACGGGGCTCCTGTGCGTGTGTATATCCCACATTTCCTTACCCAGTCATCCTCCGTAGACGCCTGGGGTGATTCCCTGTCTCGGCCCTTGGGAATGGTACCGCAATAAAAATATATGTGGCCTTTCCTTTTCTTGCTTTTCTTATACGTGTTTAAGCCACGTTTGTGATGAAGTTGCCTTGTTTTTATCAGGATTAAGTCCACTTATTTTTCTCTCTTTTTTTTTAAAGATGTTATTTATTTATTTGAATGGCAAATTACAAAAAGAGAGAGAAAGAGAGGTCTTCTGTCTCCTGATTCACTCCCCAAATAGCTGCAATGGCTGGGGCTGGGCCAAGCTGACACCAGGAGCCAGGAGCTTCATCCAGGTCTCCTACGTAGGTGCAGGGGCCCAAGCATGTAGGCCATTGTCCACTGCTTTCCCAGGCAATTAACAGGGAACTGGATAGGAAGTGGAGCAGCCAGGATTTGAACCTGTGCCCATATGGGATGCTGATGTCACAAACAGTGGCTCTACCTGCGTCGCTACAGTGCCAGCTCCTGGAGAGGTTTTCTACGAACTTTTGCCATTTCGTGTGGTTGCTGCTGATTCCTGCTCCACGCCTGCTTTCTATTTGTGGTTTCAGATAAGACCTACGTGGTTGACTTGAGTAACGAGCAGACCATGTCATTGACCATCGAGCCACGGCCTGTCAAACATGGCCGCAAGTTTGTCCCTGGCTGCTTCGTGTGCCTGGAATCGCGGACCTGCAGTGCCAACGTCACCCTGACACCTGGCTCCAAACACAGGATCTCATTCCTGTGTGACAACCTGACCCGCCTGTGGATGAATGCCGAGAAAACGCTAAGTACGCCCTGGAGTGCCTTCACCCTGGGCCGCTTCCTGCCGCCCTCCCCTCCATGCCCTGTCTTCTGGGTGGTGGTCCTGAGGGGGTCATAGAGGGAGTGAGATAGTCACCCAAGTGCAGGTGAGCAAGGGCAGCAGTGGGCTGACAGTGCGCCCCCTGCAGGAGCAGCCTGGCTGGCACAGGCATCCCCCGCATTGCTTTTCCCTGTGCCCATACACGTGTGTCTGTGCCCAGGCCACAGTCTCCCTCCTGTGCTTGGCCTTGCCCTGCCTGCCCTGTCCCTGCACCCCCAACTTGTCTTCTGCATGAGACTGACAACCTTGTGGCCTTGGTTTGTTCCACTTTGCATCTGTGTAGTCACTGGCAGTGCTGGGCAAGTGTTGGTCACTTAAAAAAGAGTGATGAGCGGAGGGTGGCAAAACCAGCAGTCACCTTCCTGCTGGCCCACCACCATCTCTGCCATGGCTGCTCTGACAGGCTCTGCAGCATGGGAGCTGAGGCCATGTAGCCTGCCTGAGGTTACCTGGTTAGGAGGTGGCACAGGGGGACCCGCGCTGAGAGTTCTCTGAGGCCGCTCACAGTTCTCACCACTCCACAGAGCTGCCGCCCCGCCTCTGGGGATGCTGGGCAGTCTGTGTGTGGTGAGGGAATTGAGCCCGAACCGTGCCCGTGTGACACTTAACCATGTGAGACCCAGGAAATCCTGCGTAAAAGGAAGATCAAAAGTGGATCCTGGCCAGCGCCGCGGCTCACTTGACTAATCCTCCGTCTGCGGTGCCAGTACTCTGGGTTCTAGTCCTGGTTGGGATGCCGGTTCTGTCCCGGTTGCTCCTCTTCCAGTCCAGCTCTCTACTGTGGCCCGGGAAGGCAGTGGAGGATGGCCCAAGTGCTTGGGCCCTGCACCCGCATGGGAGACCAGAAGGAAGCACCTGGCTCCTGGCTTCAGATCGGCACAGCACACCAGCCGTAGCAAACTTTTGGGGGGGTGAACCAACGGCAAAAAGGAAGACCTTTCTCTCTGTCTCTCTCTCACTGTCTAACTGCCTGTCAAAAAAAATAAATTAAAAAAAAAAATTAAAAAAAAGTGGAGCGTCCCCCAGAAGTCTGTCCTAGGGTCACAGGACAAGAGAGAGGGAGGAAAAGCTGGCGAAGGAGGCAGCAGCGAGGGGCAGCCTGGGAGCTGAGACCCCCAAGAGCAGAGCAGGGCTGCTGGCAGGCGTCCAGCCCCAGGCCAGCGGCAGCGGTGAGAAGGGTGCCCTCCTGGCCTCCTCCAGGCGTGGGTCCCATGAGCTCCTCTCTTCCAGGCTGCCTGGACCCCCGCTACTGCCAGAGGAAGTCCTACCGCCTGCAGGTGCCCAGCGACATCCTCCAGCTGCCCGTGCAGCTGCATGACTTCTCCTGGAAGCTGCTGGTGCCCAAGGACAGGCTCAGCCTGGCGCTGGTGCCGGCGCAGAAGCTGCAGCAGCACACGCACGAGAGGGCCTGCAGCACCAGCTTCAGCTACCTGCTGGCCAGCGCCGTGCCGGGCCAGGACCTGTACTTCGGCTCCTTCTGCCCCGGAGGCGCCATCGAGCACATCCAGGTGAAGCAGAACGTGTCGGTGACCCTGCGCACCTTCTCACCCGGCTTCCAGAAGGACGCCTCCAGGCAGGTGCTGAACGTGTCCTTCATCCCCTTCTTCAAAGGTAAGCCGTCTGTCCCCGCCACCCTGCTGCCTTAGTCCTTTGGGTTCGGGGCTCGCTCTATAGTTCCCTTCATTAAGCTGCTGATTTGCAGAGAAAGGGTGGCATGACGCGTTGGTCCTCCCACCAGGAATTTGAAAGATGGTGAGACCTGCTCCCGGCGTTAACCTTAATGTAGCGTGGAAAATTGCAGAGGTTAAAAATAAGAAAAATCTGGAGTTAAGCCACCACCTGTGAGGCTGGCATCCCACATGAGCGCCGGTTTGAGTCCTGGCTGGTCCACTTCCAGTCCAGCTCCTTTTAATGGAAAAGCAACAGGGGTGGCCCAGGTGCTTGGTCCCCCACCACGCATGTGGGAGACTCAAGAGGTTCAGGATCCTGGATCTGGCCTGGCCCAGCCCCCGCTGCTGCAGCCATTTGGGGAGTGGACCAGTGAGTAGAAGATTCCACCACCCCTCCTTCTTCTATCATTCCGCCTTTCAAATAAATAGAAAAAAATAATAATAAAATCTGGCAGTGGGAGGCAGTGGTTGGTAGGTGGCAAGACAAACCAAAAAAAGGATTTGATTGTTTCTTGGGAGCAGGGAGAGAAACAACCAGATATGCCCGATCCTGGCTTTTTAAGGTGGTGCTGACATTTCTGTGATTCTGCGTTTACAATTCCGAGTGCAGTGTGCAGCACTCTGAGCAAAGGCCATGGGAGACAGGTGCATCCCCGTCTCCAGTGGGGTGCAGCAGGCCCTCCTGGAACACCAGACCAAGGCGTTCGGCGTCCTCACTCACTCACTCACCACTCTGAGCTCTCCGGGGTTGATTTTAAAAGCCACAGCCTCCACAGTACAAGTGCTCCAACAGTTACGAGCGTTAGAGGCCGTTTCAGCATTGACCGAGACCTTTATCTGAGGGCTGCTTTGTCCTTCTGTTCTCGGAGGCGGGCGTGGGAGGAGAAGCCTCTTTGGCCGTGAGATTAGATTCCATGCAGGCTCCCTGACATCTCCAAGGTGACCAGAGGAACTCCTTCTGGGGAGTCTCTGGCAATCAGACGCGTTCTCATCCGCCTGCAGCATTGGGCTTTTATCTCGCCTGCGGGTAAGGACTGGATTCGCTGACCTGTCAGGGGCTCCTTCAGCTTCGCAGTTCTAGAATTCTTCCCAGAATTCCAAGTTGTCGGGTTTTTTTGTTTTTTAAGGTTTACTGATTTATTTGAGAGGTAGAGTTAAACACAGAGACAAAAAAAAAAAGGTCTTTTATCCACTGGTTGACTCCCTAAATGCCCACAATGGCTAGAGCTGGGCCAATCCGAAGCCAGGAGCCAGGAGCTTCTTCCAGGTCTCCCACATGGGTTCAGGGGCCCAGGCACTTGGGCCATCTTCTATTGCTTTCCCAGGCCATTAGCACGGAGCTAGATGGGCAGTGGAGCAGCTGGGTCTCAAACCTGTGCCCATGTGGGATGCTGGCACCACAGGCAGAGGCTTAGCCTGCTACACCACAGCACCGGCCCCTCCAAGTTGTTTTCATGCTGAAGATGGAAATTGGGATGTGTCATTCCCACGTGGAGCCGGGCAGCAGATAAGAGTTCACTGGGTTGAGAGCATTTCTAGAAGGAAGCCAACATAACCACTAGTTTGGCAAACCAGTGGTCTGGTTTTGAGGTTTGCTGATTGATCGATTGATTGGAAGACCTGATATGTGCCGAATAGGACTGTAACTATGCAGCCTGCTGCACTGACCTGTCCCGTAGCCATCAGCCACCTCCTGTGGCCAGTGAATTAAAATTAACCGTGCAATTCTTGTGTCCCATTGGGCACTTACTGCAGGTGCTCAGCAGGCACACGCGGCCGGTGGTTGCTCTGTGGGGTGGTGCGGGTGCAGCACACGTCCAGCCCTGTGGACAGCGGTGTGGGGTGGCGCCCATCCAGCCAGTTCAGCATCAGCCCCTGGCTGCTCCGGCTCTCTGTGTCTTGGCTGAGTGAAACAACAGCTTCCTGTCCTGCAGAGGAAAGCATTTTCACCGTGACCCCAGACGCGAAAAGCAAGGTCTACCTGAGGACCCCTAACTGGGACCGGGGCCTGCCGTCCCTCTCCTCGGTGTCCTGGAACATCAGCGTGCCCAGCAACCAGGTGGCCTGCCTGACCCTCGTCAAGGAGCGGATGGGCGTGGTGTGCCAGACCGGCCGCGCGTTCATGATCATCCAGGAGCAGCAGACCCGGGCCAAGGAGATCTTCAGCCTGGAGGAGGTGCTGCCCGAGCCACGCGTCCGCCGCCGCAGCTTCTGGGTCAACGTCTCCAACTGCAGCCCCGCCAGCGGCAAGCAGCTGGACCTACTCTTCTGGGTCGCGCTCACCCCGAGGACTATGGGTAATGGCCTCCAGGGTCTTTTGGGGATGGGCACCTAAGAGATAAGGAGCAAGTGGGAGCGCCAGGTCAGAAGATGCAGACAGATTCGCAGCTGTCCACAAGTCTGTGGGCTGATGCGGCAGCAATGCTGCCTCCAAAGCCACCCCAGAACGTAGTGGCTTAAAAAACAGCTGTTTGTTACCACTCCCACGTGGGCTGGGCAGTTCTGGCTTGAGCTGGGCTCGTGGGCCTCACTCCCTCGTGCACCTGTGGACAGCTGCAGGTTGGCTAGCATGCTTTGCCAGTCCTTGCCCAGGCACTGTGCTGTCTGGGGCCCAGCCAAGATCATCCAGGACAACTGGACTTGGCTGCCCTCCGTGCAGTCTCCTGTCCAGGTCTCACAGCAGGGGCAGAGAGGTTTGTGGCATGCTGCGTGCGAGGTCTCTCTTGTTGGGTGGGGAACGTGCACACTGCCTCTTCTACGCTGTCCTCATGGCCAGCCTTGGTGCTCTCGGTCAGTCTGTCCCCCATTCTTTCCTCTTAATAGCTCTCTGGCCTAGGGCAGGTCTCCTCCTTCCCCCACCATCTCCCTTATCTGTAGAGAGTACACGCTAGCAACCGCATCCTGAAAGGATCATGGGGGTTCAGTGTTGGGCGTGAACATGTGGGGACCAGGGGCGGGCCTCTCACCCAGCAGTTAAGATGTGGCCAGGAATGCCCACATCCACTGTCAGTGTGTCCTGGTTCAGGCCTCTGGCTCCTCTCCCAATTCCAGCTTCCTGCTAATGCAGACCCTGGGTGGTAGGGGATGGCTTAAGTAGTTGGGTCTCAGGCCGGTGCCATGGCTCACTTGGCTAATCCTCCACCTGCGGCACTGGCACCTCAGGTTCTAGTCCCAGTTGGGGCACTGGGTACGAGTCCTGGTTGCTCCTCTCCCAGTCCAGCTCTCTGCTGTGGCCCGGGAGAACAGTGGAGGATGGCCCAAGTGCTTGGGTCCCTGTACCTGCATGGGAGACTGGGAGGAAGTACCTGGCTCCTGGCTTCGGATCGGCATAGCACCGGCCATGGTGGCCATTAGGGGAGTGAACCAACTGAAGGAAGACTTTTTCTCTCTGTCTCTCACTGTCTATAACTCTCTGTCTCTCTCTCGCTCACTGTCTAACTCTGCCTGGCAAAAAATTAAAAAAAAAAAAAAGTAGTTGGGTCTCTGCCACCCATGTGGGAGACCTGGATGGAGTTCTGGGCTCCCCACTGCAGCCTGGCCATTGTGGGCATTTAGGGAGTGAACTAGTGGATGGAAGATCTCTCACGGTCTGACTCACTGTCCCTCTCTCTCTCTCACTCTCTCTCAATTGTAGTAATCAATTTAAAAATAAAAATAAGGCAAACGTGGGGAGGTGGAAAGTGGGGTGGGTTTTTAATCCACTCCCGTGAAACACTGGGATGGTGAAGTGCCCTCGGTGTCAGGCTGAGGAGCCAGGCTGGGAGCTGCCTGTCATTTGCCAAGTTACCAGATGCGAGGTGAGCTCTGGCCAAGAGATGCCCGAGAAGCTGCGCCCCCAGGGCCTTGTCTGCTCTTGGTTCGGTGATGGCTGCGGAGCACAGGGTGTTGGAGCCACAGGGGTGGAGGCTGTTTTCTCCCGGCCCCTTCCCCTTCCTATGGGCAGAGAAACTGAGTGTCCTGCTGGGCCCACACCCCAGCTAGCGGCAGAGGGGCCGAGAAGGGGCCAAAGCCACGGGTGGGAAGCTCCCCGCCTCCTCTCTCATATTCATTTCCTGCCGTTGCTTCCTCTTCCTGTTTCCTTGGAATCACACTTTGCGTTTTCTCAGTGCACAGCCAAGAAGTTCTGAATGCCTGTCTGGCGCGGGGTTCCCGCTCTGCTCTGTTTTCTGTTCCCTGTGTAGAGCTGTAGGAGGCTGGCACGAGCAAGACAGCGCTCGCCGCAACTGCTTTGCGTCTGCCTTTGGACGCCCAGCTTTCTGCTGCTCTCTCTGCTCTGTCCTTCCCCACAACAGGCTGGAGGGGCCAGGGACACCCCCATGCAGCCAGCAGTGGCCTTGGGAGCACGGCTGGTAGGTCCCCCAGTTTGTCTAAGTTTGCATGCAAACTACCCCGAAGATTTAGTGATTGAGACATTGTTTTGTTTTTGCTCAGTTTGTGGGTCAGGACTCGGGACAGGGCACAGCAGGGTGGTTCATCTGCACAGGGTGACCTGGGGCCCCAACCAGATGCCTTGAACCAGCTGGAGGAGGCTGGGATGGTAGAGGGGAGTCCTACGACAGGGACCTTGGTTCTCCCTTTAAGCTGGGCTGGGTTCTCTCCCCATGAAGCCGTCACGTGGCTAGCTTGGGCTTCCTCGCAGCATGGTGGCCTCAGCACAGACTTCTTACACCGAAGAAGGAAGTGCAGGCTGACATTCCTCTTAGAGCGTGGGCCCAGAACTGCCATGGCTGCTTTCTGGCGGCCAGCAGATTGCAAGGGAGGGGACTGGAGCTGCTGGGGGCTGTCTCTGGAGACGACTCCGGTTCACCGTCGGGCTGACCACCTGTCCTGTGTTCTGCTCATAGACCTCACGACCGTCATCAGCGCAGCGGTGGTAGGTGGCGCCTTCCTGCTGTTGGCCCTCGGACTCATCATCTGCTTTGTGAAAAGGAAGTAGGTGACACTCTCGGCCGGCTCTGGCTGGCGGGACGCCCCCTCTGGCCACACAGCCCCGGGGTATTGTGGGTCACTGTGAGATGACACTGCCAGTGTGAGCAGGGGAGGGGAAGAACACAGATGGTGACACCGTCACTCCGTGAGTCACACTTTCTGTAAGTTGACTCTCACGGGGGGGGGGGGGGTGGTGGCAGGGGAGGCTCAAGACAGCCACTCCTTCCGTTACTTTGAGGCAAGAACAGCATGACGCCAAGACTTGTTCTGCAGCTTCTGCCCTGTGCCTGTTCATTGAGCCCCAGGCCAGGTCTCCCCAAGCCACCACTCGATTTTCTAAATTCTCCTGTTTCTCATTAAGGTCATGGAGGAAGGGCGAAATCTGTGTTCCTTCATGTGATGGCTTGATCTACCAGAAAAGGCAATGAGGATTTTTTTTTTTTAATTAACCATGACTCTGAGCAGACAACTGAACTTCCTGGTGGGCAGTGAGGCATTCTAGAAACGTCTGGCCTGGCGGGGAGGGCCTAGCTCACAGCAGACCCAGGGAGGGTCTTCTTCCCCCTGCAGTGGTCGCTCACGTACCGCATGGGGAACGACCTCACAAGGTGAAGCATCATCTTGCCGCCTGGCCCAGGAAACATGCTGGTCTGGGGTGCATGGGACGCCCAGTGCAGTGGGGAGAGCATGGTGTGGACCCCAGGCTCCTACTTCCCCCACAGGAGGGCACTGGGCTAGGTGAGGGGCGAGTCCACCTGCTCCGCTCTGGGCTTGAGGATCCCCGACTCCACCTTGTGGTGGGCCTTGCCCTGGCTGGCAGGTTGGCTTTGGAAAGGCCCGTCCATGCCTAAGTTGGTGTAGAAGGATGGATGGGGGTCTGCAGTGAGAACAAGGGGACACGATGCCTTTGACACTGCACTTGTTCAATACGCAAGTGTCTCCTGGGCGCTGGGACCCATATGAGGTGCCGCAGATGACAGTGAGCAAGACACGGTCTCTTCTGCCACCCGTGGGGCAGAGGGACAGAGGGCAGGCAAATAAACAGGCAGTTTTGGGGCCAGGTGAGAAATACATTGGTGGGGACAGGCAAGGCACTGTGAGAGCACCAAGAGTGGACACCTGTTCCAAGGCTTCAGGCAGGAGCCTCTGGCACCCGTCATCCTTGCCGGCCAGGGACAAGGAGTTACAAGCTAAAGGTGCTAGGTTTATTTTATTTATTTAATTTTTTAAGTTGAATCTTGAGTGGTAATACCTTTCTTCTTTCTTTCTTTTTAAGAATTTTTTTTTTTATTTGAAAGGCAGAGGCGGGGGAGGGTCTTCCATCTGCCGGTTCACCCCCCAGAATGGCTGCAACAGCCAGAGCTGAACTGATCCAAAGCCAAGAGCTAGGAGCTTCTTCCAGGTCTCCCATGTGGATGTATGGGCCCAAGGACTTGGGCCATCTTCTACTGTTTTCCCAGGCCATAGCTGGGAGCTGCATCGGAAGTGGAACATCCGGGACTTGAACCGGCACCCATATGGGATGGCGGCTCCGCAGGCGGCAGCTTTACCTGCTACGCCACAGTGCCAGCTCGCTAGGTTTATTTTTTATCGCGCACAAATGCAGGGAGCCTGTCCACAGTGAGAGAACTGCCAGCCCGGGCATCACGGGGCCCATTCTGCTCACTGGGCCGATACAGCGTCAGCCTGCCTGGCTGCTTGGCTGGTGGAGACAGAGTCAGACTCGGTTTCCCATGGCAGGAAGTGCTAAAGCCCATCCGTGCCCAGGTGCCGGAGAGCGTCAGGAAGCAGACCTCGGCATGGCACTGAGGAGCCGGGCCGCGCGGCCTGAGCTGCGTCTTAGCTCATTCCTCCAGTGCTGCTGAGGGGGCTGGGCTCCTCTGCTGACGCTGAGTCCTGCTGTCCCCAGCTCCAGCCGAAAACCAAGAGACGAGGAAACCGCACAAAGTCCGTGGAAAAGGGAGTCAAGGATACGATTATTTTTTTGCAAAAGAAATCGAAATCTCTGTGTAATTTTTTCATCGTAAGCGTTTTCCCGTGAGCTTTCTCCTATCACCACTTAGAATCGAGGTGGGCAGAACTTTTATCCACAGACAAGAGGGATGGAGCATTCGCTGCAGGAAGTACTGAGAGTTCAGAAGGTTGGCTTGCGCAATGCGGTGCTGTTCAGAAGGGCTGGACACTCCCGCGTATCTAACAGGAAAGGGGGAGGGGAAGGTCAGTTTCCTTTTGAAAATGCTAAGTGGCTTGAGGGGCTTGGGGGAGACACAGACTGCCAAGGCTGTTCTCTTTCTGACCTCTGTTCTTCCTGCTAACAGGAAGAAGAAGAACAAGGGCCTTGCTGTGGGCGTCTACAATGGCAACGCTAACACCCAGATGCCAAGGCTGCCCAAGTTTCAGAAGGAGCGGAAGGACAACGACTCGCACGTGTACGCCGTCATCGACGACACCATGGTGTACGGACATCTGCTGCAGGATGCTAGCGGGTCCTTCCTGCAGCCCGAGGTGGACACCTACCGACCCTTCCAGGGGCTCATGGGGGACTGCCCTCCCCCCACACCTGCTGTGTGCTCCAGGACCCCGACCTCAAAGTTGGCCTCAGACTATCCACCTCCTCCCATGCCCTCTGAGTCCGAAGGTGAACCCTACACCTTCTCCCAGCCCACGAAGGAGGCTGTGGGCAGCGGGCACGCAGACATTCCCTTGCTGGACACCCAGGGCCCCACAGAGCTGGTGGAGTGATTCAGACCCATCCGGGGCTTCGCGTGGATGCGTAGTGCAGGGCACGGAGACTCCCTGTGGTGATCCTCACCAGGAATCCTGAGGAAGAACGGGAATTCTGTGGGAGGAGCAGCAGGCTTCCCTGGACACCACCCCCTTCTGCAGTGACGAGACGCTGCGAACAGTGAATTCCAATCTGTCCGGTTGTCATGAGACACGTCCTCAACTCAGGCTGGACTATAAACCAGCCAGCAGAGAGGAGAGAGGCGCGGGCCGTCGGCACAGGGTTGCCCGGAGCCCTGGACTTGGCAGTGGTGGACAGGGGCGGCAGACCTGCTGCTAGGAGCCCACTCAGTCCCTTTGTGTGATGATTTATTCGGTGGTCCTGTGTGTTAAGAGGTCAACTATACGACCAGGCAGCTTTTTTTTTACCTGACTTGCCACAGCTTAGGCTCTCTGATTTGAATGGCTGGGTTTTGAGTGTTGCTGACCACTGGGTAAACAAGTCCCCTTCCCCCTGGGAGGGGGATACTCTGCATTCTCTCCAACCAGAAAAGGGTGTGTGTGCGCGTGTGTCCTGTGTGTGGAAGGTGGCTCTGTGGCGTGCTTCTTGCATGCGTGCAGTCCTGAAGCATGTCTACTTTGATCAGAGCCTCCTTCTCACACTGTGCAGGTGGTCGTCCCCTATTGCAAAAACCAGACTCATTTTGCTCCCCATTTTCCTTTCATCCTAGAAATAGGAGAAATTTCCTTGAGTTGCCGTGTGTGGCCGTCCCTGCTGTAGCAGTACTTTGTAACTTGAGTATTTCCATGCTCTGCAAATGTTAACTCTACCCCCCCCGGGAGGGGGGGCCACCTGCGCACCACAGCGCGTGACTTGATGGCATAAGAAGAGTATTACTGTCTTGCAGTTCTAGGGAGCAGAATCCCAACACGGGTCTGAGCTGAGCTGCCCGGAAGGCCCCGTCAGGTTGGGATCTTTGGGGTGTCACAGTTCTGCCCTCCACGCCTTCCTGCCACTGGTGCCTGCTGCAGACTGCAACATGATCCAGCCCACATGGCTGTTTTGGTTCGCCCAGAGCATCCTTTTTTTACATCAAATTTTAAGACTGTAAAAATTTTACATAAAAATGGAGATGGGGGATCTGGGTGTGTTGGGGCTCACGTGGAACTGAGCAGCAGCTTTGCCCTTGGGTGGGCACCCAGTGCACCACAGTCCCCACTGCTCCCTGTTGCTGCCCACCACGAGGCTGAGTGTTTGCTGTCACAGCTCAGTGCCCTGCAGGGTTGCTTTGCTCGCGGTGAGAAGGAAGGGCTGAGACCCCTAGCTGAGGAGACAGACCTCGAAGCCGGCATGTAGTGTCCTACGGTCCCTCACTATGCTACCAGCCAGCTCCTGTGTGGACAGTGGCCTCTGTGGTCCCTGATGTCTTCTGGGACGAGAGGGGCTAGGTGGTGGCTTCTTAGCACCGTCCAAGGTTCAGTCTGTCAGGCAAAAACCTCCTTCCAAACAAACGCATTATGCAGCGCCTCGATGTTCCCACAGCCTTGGCAGAGGAGCCTGTGTCCTGCGAGGTCTCCCGAGCTCTCTGCAGGTGGAGCGGGGGTGGAGTGCCCTCAGTGCTACCTGTGGCACCCTCCCTCCGGAAAGGCTGGCTCCTGCCCACTTACCCTTGGCCCCTTGACCCGGGGTGCTGGGTAGCTCCCTCCACGGGGGGCCAGAGGACGGTGGCTTCCTCCTGTCAGCTGAAGGAACCTTGTCTGGAGGCATGCGCTGAGCCCTGGCTCTCCACCGTCTGCCTTCCCTCGCCTGCTGGCCTCTCTGAGCACCTCTTTGCGCTTTGCGTCGCTCCCAGGGCACGGGTGGCCACCTGGGGGCTCGCTGCCCATCACACACCTCCCTGCCGCTTGCACATGGCTGCGAGGTTGGCTCCCGGAAACCTCAGGTGGGCCTCGGGTTCTGAGAAGCTGTGTGCCAGCACAGTGCCTACGCACACCGGGCCAGCGGGTGCCCAGGCAGCCCTCATGCCCGTCTGCCCCGCCCGTGAGGACGGCCAGCTCCTCCGGGCCTCACTGCAGAGGCTCTGCCTCGAGTCCGCAGGGACAAGCCCAAGTCCATCAGACAGAACCTTGGTAAAGCTTCAGAGACTCGTGTGTGCGGATCTGTAATGCTTAACTGGAAATAATTTATTCATTGTAGATTCTTTTAGCATTTTATTCATTTCCTGTAATTTTTAAAATAAAGATTTACAGAAAGTCTCAGGTTCTTTAAATGCTCCGGCTGCTTCTCCCCTGGCTGAGCTGAGGCGGTGTCCCAGGTGTCTGCTACGCTGGGCTAACCACATGTGCTTAGTGGCACATCTGGCCAAGTGGCCACTCTGTTGGACAGCACAGGTAATAGAACATTTTCATCATTACAGAAAATGCTATTGGGATTGCTCATACCATACTCACGTATTAAACACCACCCCCTACATACTGTTTACTGTATACCGAGAACTCTTCCAGAATGTTTAGATGGACACTCTGATTGAATCCTGTGTTTTCAATATGATATTCGTCCCCACCAAAACTCAGGTTGAAGCTGAATTCCTCAATGGGACAGGGTTGGGAGCGGGGCCCCAGTGGGAGGTGCCTGGGTCATGGGGGTAGCACCCTCACTGACAGATGAATACCGTGGTGAGACTTTGCCTGGATTCATCCCTCAAGAGCAGGCCGCTGCGAGGCCAGTGCAGCTTCCCCAGTTCCCTCTTGCTTCTTCTCCCTCATGCACCTGCTTCCCTACAAGGCCCTCACCGGAAGCCCAGCAGGTACAGACGCCATGCACTTGGACTTCGATACTGTATGAATTACTCAGTGTCATTCCTCAGGCCTTCTGTTGCAGCAACGTGAAATGCAAAGACAATCCACAGACTTAACTTTGAACGTCACCTCTCATTCTCTCCATGAGATAATTTCCTTCTCTTGGCTACCATGGCCTCTGACTTGCTGGTTTTCTGACTTCTCTCTTGACTTTTTTCTCCTGAGGTCAATATTAGATTTGTTGTTTATTATAGTAATGAACAGTTGTTACAGTAAGAGCTACACACATAGGCCAGCGCCACGGCTCACTAGGCTAATCCTCTACCTTGCGGCGCCGGCACACCGGGTTCTAGTCCTGGTCAGGGCGCTGGATTCTGTCTCGGTTGCCCCTCTTCCAGGCCAGCTCTCTGCTGTGGCCAGGGAGTGCAGTGGAGGATGGCCCAGGTGCTTGGGCCCTGCACCCCATGGGAGACCAGGAGAAGCACCTGGCTGCTGCCATCGGATCAGTGCGGTGTGCCGGCCGCGGCGGCCATTGGAGGGTGAACCAACGGCAAAGGAAGACCTTTCTCTCTGTCTCTCTCACTGTCCACTCTGCCTGTCAAAAAAAAAAAAAAAAAAAAAACTTGGCCGGCGCCGCGGCTCACTAGGCTAATCCTCCGCCTAGCGGCGCCGGCACACCGGGTTCTAGTCCCGGTCGGGGCGCCGGATTCTGTCCCGGTTGCCCCTCTTCCAGGCCAGCTCTCTGCTGTGGCCAGGGAGTGCAGTGGAGGATGGCCCAGGTGCTTGGGCCCTGCACCCCATGGGAGACCAGGAAAAGCACCTGGCTCCTGGCTCCTGCCATCGGATCAGCGCAGTGCGCCGGCCGCAGCGCGCCGGCCGCGGCGGCCATTGGAGGGTGAACCAACGGCAAAGGAAGACCTTTCTCTCTGTCTCTCTCTCTCTCACTGTCCACTCTGCCTGTCAAAAAAAAAAAAAAAAAAAAACTACACACATATACAGAATTATTATGTTTACATTCATATAGATGGGGCTGAGCTGTGGCATAACAGCTAAAGCTGCCACCTGCAGTGCTGGTATCCCATATGGGCGCCTGTGAGTCCTGGCTGCTCCACTTCCGATCCAGCTCTGCTGTTGTCCAGGAAAGCAATAGAAGAGGCCCCTGAGCCCACAGGCCTGGAAGAAGCTCCTGGCTCCTGGCTTCGGATTGGCCCAGCTCCTCTCTCACTGCCTCTGCCTCCCTAGAACTCTGCCTTTCAAATAAATAATTAAATCTTTAAAAAAGAACAATATTTATGTTTTAAGTTAGTTTTGAAATTAGAAGTGAAGAACAGCTTAAGTTTTACAACAAAGAAAAAATATACAAGACAAAAATAGGGTAAACAGTAAAAACCCAACTATTCATTCTTAATGTAACAATGTGGAAACTTTGTCAAAGAGTTACATCTTTTTTTTTTTTTTTTTTTTTTTTTTTTTGACAGGCAGAGTGGACAGTGAGAGAGAGAGACAGAGAGAAAGGTCTTCCTTTGCCGGTGGTTCACCCTCCAATGGCCGCCGCAGCTGGCGCGCTGCAGCGGGCACACCGCGCTGATTCGATGGCAGGATCCAGGTGCTTTTCCTGGTCTCCCATGGGGTGCAGGGCCCAAGCACTTGGGCCATCCTCCACTGCACTCCCTGGCCACAGCAGAGAGCTGGCCTGAAAGAGGGGCAACCGGGACAGAATCCGGTGCCCCGACTGGGACTAGAACCCAGTGTGCCAGCGCCGCAAGGCGGAGGATTAGCCTAGTGAGCCGCGGCGCCGGCCGAGTTACATCTTCTTAATTTGATTGTCCAAATCATCAAAATACGGATGATTTAGTGCCGTTTTGCCAGAATTCCGCTTGGCAGTATCCTAGACGCATTTTTGAGAGCAAATGCAAGCCACTGTCATCCAAATTTTTGACATGGAATGCCAAGTTTCCTGGTTTCTACTTAAGAAATATATTCTTATAGTCCTGTAAAGATTCCACTTCTGGGGGCTGGCGCCATGGCGAAGTAAGTTAATCCTCTGCCTAGGGTGCCAGCATCCCATATGGGTGCCGGTTCAAGTCCCGGCTGCTCCACTTCCAATCCAGCTCTCTGCTACGGCCTGGGAAAGTAGTGGAAGATGGCTCAAGTCCTTGGGCCCCTGTGCCCGTGTGGGAGACCTGGAAGAAGCTCCTGGAAGAAGCTCCTGGCTCCTGGCTCCTGATCAGTGCAGCTCCTGCTACTGCAGCCACTTGAGGAGTGAACCAGTGGACGGAAGACCTTCCTCTCTGTCCCTCTCACTGCCTGCAACTCTACCCCCAAATAGATAAAATCTTAAAAAAGAAAAAAAAAAGATTCCACTTCTGGCCACATTTTGTTATTGGGAGTGCCCAAGGCTCTGAAAATCCCGAAGAGTGGATCAGTTTCTAAATCTCCATGGGAAAGTGGTTTCTTGGTTGCTAAGTCTGCAGATATGGTGCCTATACTCCAAATGTAAACTGGAGTCCAGTAATGCGCTGAGCCCAGCAATGCTTCTGGAATCTGTTCCAGAGTGTTACTGCCTCGTGTGTATACTCCAAAAGCTCGGGCAAGGCCAAAATCAGCCAGTTTCATGGTTCCTTCGTCCTTAATCAATAGATTGTGAAGAGATTTAAAACACAATCCCCTGTAGGATCTGGTATAAATAACTCTTAACAAGCGAAGAATCCATGAACTGACCAGGAGGGACTGAATCTAAGTATTTCTTGAGATCCATGGGAAGGAATTCAAAGATGAGATTCAACCTGGAATCCTGCATAAGCACATCTTGACAATGGACTATATTTGGATGACGAACTTCTTTTAATAGAGAAATTTCCCGAATTGCAGTACTAGGAACCCCTTTCTCTTCACTTTCCAGTCTGATTTTCATCATAGCTATCACCTGACCTATAGTTTTGTGTCTACCCTTTATACAACTCCATAGGTACTTTGTCTGATGGTCTCGATTTTGGTATAATCCTCCATAGTTAATCAGTAAGTGTGGCAGATCCAGATTCTTATTTCCATGGCGGCTGCAGCGCCAGATAACCACATCCACAAAGTTCTTCACTCAACTTGCCAGAGCCAGCTTTGAAACTAAGTGCCTCCCTCGGCTCCTTCCCCTTCCCCTTCCCCTTCCCCTCCTCTTCCTCCTCCTCCTCCTCCCTCTTCCTCTTCCTCCTCTTCCTCTTCTTCTTCCTCTTCTTCCTCTTCCTCCTCTTCCTCTTCTTCTTCCTCTTCCTCCTCTTCCTCTTCCTCCTCTTCCTCCTCTTCCTCTTCCTCTTCTTCCTCCTCCTCTTCCTCTTCTTCTTCTTCCTCTTCCTCTTCTTCTTCCTCTTCTTCTTCTTTAAGATTTTATTTATTTGAAAGACAGAGTTACAGAGCAAGGTAGAGCCAGAGAGAGAGAGGTCTTCCATCCACTGATTTATACCCTAGATGGCTGCAATGGCTGGAGCTGTGCCGATCCGAAGCCAGGAGCTTCTTCCGGTCTCCCACGTGAGTGCAGGGGCCCAAGGACCTGGGCCATCTTCTGCTTTCCCAGGCCATAGCAGAGAGCTGGATCGGAAGAGGAGCAGGCGAGACTCGAACCGGCACCCATATGGATGCCGGCGCTTCAGGCCAGGGCTTTAACCCGCTGTGCCACAGCACCAGCCCCCCTTGGCTTCTTTAACCAAGCCAGTAGCAAACACCAGTGTGGCTTCAGCAAGACAGAGGCCAGTGTTTTCAAGGCTGTGTCATTTAGGGAGTGGGACCAAGGCCCCTGCCTTTCTCCTTCATAGTCCTGTCTGTGGCTTCTACCATCAAGGTTGCCTCGTGGTTCCATTATGACTACCAGAGCTCCAGCCATCATCACACATAAATCCCACATAGGAAGACACAGGACAAAAGAAGACCTGCCTCTCAGCTGAGACTGTTTCCACGGGAGACTTCCCTGGAAGCCCCCTGCTACACCTCACCTCTATCTTCAGGAAAGCCTGGAACACAAGCTGGGCTCTCTGGTGACTCCGACTAGCACAGGGGTGGGGTGGTGGGTCACAAAATGGATCCCGGGCAGGGAATCTGACATCTCAGCTTCCGTCCTGGTTCCTCGTGTATTTGTTTGGTGATTTACATTTAAATGTGACTATAAAGTCTTCCAAAAGCATTTGTTTCCAGTGCAATAGAGCAATCATGTTTGCATCCACGGCATTTCTCAGCTGCCTGTCATCAGCCTCCAAAGAGATTCCCCCAGCCCGCCACGTCGTCACTTACCTAGGCTGATTAGGTAAAATCTAGAAGGCGTTTTCTGTAGTTTTGTCCTGTCTTTGTGTACACGTGCAGTGTCTCCATCAACGAGTATTGTGTCACTTGGCAATTAACATTTTTTTTTTCAAACCGGAAAATGAGCATGTTTTCAGCAACCTTGAAATGCAGGCTACGATGTACGATAAATA